TGGCCAGCTCAGCCCACCAGGGGGCAGGGCTGGCTGGCATGTGGTGCTGGGGGATTGAACCGCGGTCCCTGTGCTTTGCTAAGCTTGTTGTAAGTAGGTGCTTTAGACCACTGAGCCATCTCACCAGCCCTCAAGAACTTTTTTTAAAGCTTAGAATAGTTAAGAAGGAAGAAAATCAGGCATGGTATAGTCCTGTAATCCCTGCACTGAGAGAGGCTGAGACAAGAGTATCACAAGTTTGAGTCTAATTTAGGGACTTAGTCTCTCATTTGGACATGTTTGCGTCGCTGAGAACCATAGTCCTTACCTACCTTGCTCCAGTGGGCAGATGACCCCTGCTTATCACGACTCAGGCTTAGCACCTCCACAACCCCCCGCCCACCCTCCCAAACCATGGGAAAGTCCTGTCAGGAAGCTACAATTTCATGAATCTCTTCTTTGGCTTCTTATTCTAACTCAACTAGAAGAACATTTATCTATCTTGTCTATCTTGGAATTCATTTATCTTGGAACACTCATCTATGTGTCTTTTTGGTAGTAATAAGAGGTTGTCTCATTTCTGTTAATCATCTGAAATTAAAACTGTGAGGCCGGTTTCTGTTATCTTGTTGCCTCTGGCTCCTTTGCCTCTCAAGAAAGTTCATCAAACCAGTGGAAGCTTCTTGGGGCACCTTGTTTTCCAAAGCAGTCTCATTGCATGAACCAGTGTCACAAGGTAATGACAGAACCATGACACCTGCTCTTGGCTATGACCTTTCATCAGCTATGTAGGCAGTCAGACACCATTATTGTCTGGAGACTTCATAGTGCATTCATCATTAGGGGAGCCATAGGAATTTGAGGTGCTTCTTTCAAAGAATGCCATTAACTGCTTATAACTTTATATTAAGAGTAGAAGCCAGCTAGGAAGGGAGTGGAGAGACTGTTCCCCATTGTGGCACCTGATGAGCATTTCAGATTGAAAAGATGCCAAGAACTAAACTCTCCGGACTAAAGTGCCTGCTTAGGCAGAGTGAAGCAGCAGGGGTTTAGTCCCCGGTGTGTGGTGCTGTGCCAGCCCTGCCCCTGGGGTGCACTGTGACAGTGATTGAAACTCGGTGTGGTGGTACGCACCTGTAAACCCGGCGCTTGGGAGGCTGAAAACAGGAGAAGCACTACAAGTCAGATCTACATAGTGAGACCCTGCAGACCTTGTCCTAAATACATTAAAAAACAAAAAACAAAAACAAAAATAAAACCTAAACTCAACTCTCCAAGCACTCGGGCTGCCAACAAGTGGCGAACCTTGCATTGTACTGAGAACTCTCCTCTATGTCCTCCTCTATGTTGTTGCAGTTGGAGGACTTCAGCAGAGCTCAGCAGATCTATGTCTTCAGCCCTTTATGAGACAAGGTCTTGCAATTTGTTCAGGCTGGCTTCCAACTTTCAGTCAAGTAGCTGGGTTTGCAGATGGGTATCCTTTGCCCGGCCAGAACGCTTACTACGTGGAACAGATTCCAGTACGCACGAAGCTGGGCTCCTTCCTCACAGGGATTTGCTAGCTTCTGAGTCCATCTTTGTGACTAGCAAGGAATCCCGCTGTCTAAGCTAGCCCCTGCTTGTCAGCAGCTCTGGGTGCTAGAATGGCTCCTCTGAGCCATCACTGCCGTGTAACCCGTGGCCACCTGCTTCTGTGCTCTTTTATTGATTGCAAGTGTGCTCACCTGTTTCCATTCATCCAGCGCTGCCTTTGGCTGTGGCACAGTCATTGGATCGGAGGCCCAACAGCCCACAAAGCCTCAAGCATTTTATATCTAGGCCCTAGTTTACAGAAACTGCTTGCCCTGTGCGCTGAGGAGACTGATGTGTGGCTCTCAGTCACAGAGCTGCTCCTGTCAATTATCTAAGCCCCGCCGAAAACCTAGCACTGGAAGAGGAGATGAGAGTTTAAAAATTTAGTCTAGAAAACTGACAGCAAGAAGGATGTGTGAAAGGTCTTTAAAACAATTAGTAAAATGCAACATAGAATAGTATTCCTAATCCTGGAAAGCCACCTAGGGGCCTACCCCTTTTTAAGTTTAAACGCTGTATTTTAAAATCAGGACACTGATCCACTGGCGGTATAGCCCAGTGGCAGTGTGTGTGGTTAGTATGTGTGAGAGCCACAGTTCAGCCCCCATTACCACAAAAGCAAAAGCCAGAAACAGCTAGCAGAAAGCAAGGCAGGAAAAAGCCTCTGGTGCCTAAAACAAAGATTGATTCCATGCTCACATAAAATATATCACGGGTCATCTGGAGGCTCTGATTTTTTAATATATGTAATTTAGAAATTATTACTTATAACTGCACATTAAAATAAGATGTATGGGCATTGGTGGTGTCTAGGCTGAAGTCAAAGGTTTGTTGGAGCCCAGGAGTTCAAGGGCAGCCTGGCAACTCACCTGGACCCCATCTCTTGCGGGGAGAAAACCAAGTGCAGTGGTGCACACCTATAATCTCAGCTGCTCAGGAAGCTGAGGCATGAAGCTCACAGGTTCCACTTAGCCTGTCCCAAAATAAAATTAAAGACCAGAAGTGCCATGATTTTAGTCATTTGCAGAATGTTGAAGCAATAGCATCAGCTGCTTCGTGAGTTAGTGTGGGCCCTAGAACAGCTCATGGTATTCTGTGACTGTTACCATTAGCAGTGGGCCTTGAGGGGACATCACACCTGCTCTTTTGTCTCCAGTGCTGGGGGAGCTAATGGAGCCCATAAGCATTTGCCTCTGTGGGTGCCCACACGCTCCCCTTGTCCTGGCTTCAGATGCAGAGCAGCTGTCTCTGGGCACTGGCCACAGCCACTTTCCTAACATCTGCTTCTTCTTTGCAGTCCTTTCAGGGCAGCCAGGGTCGAGCCTACCTCTTCAACTCTGTGTGAGTATTTACTGTTCTTATTCCATCCACCTGCGGCCTGGGCTCTAGGTAGATGGTGTCTGTCCATGTGTTCAATTATTCAGAGCTGGAATACGTAGAGAAGTTCCATCCGCAGTCTTGAGTTACCCAGCCAGTGCCATTATATGACCCTCATCTGGAAGTTCCTCAAAGTGTTGTTTTATCTGCCTGCCTGCTCTGTGGCAGAATTCTCCAGCTATTCCCAGGCCAGGACTGGAGCTCAGTGGCAGAGTACACCCCTAACCTGAGAGAGGCCTTGGGGGGATTGAGTCCAAGTATCTGCAACCCCTCCAAGATAGCTGTTCCTTCTCCGAGCAGATGGTGGCCTGAAGTGGTGGGGGAGCCGAGTGCTACAGTGCCCTCTCAGGAACTCGCCCTGTTTCTGGTGGTCTTCTGATAACAAGCACTGGGCCAGGGCAGGGGAAGCCTGCAGCAGGGCCAGGAAACCAGGACGTCTAACACAGTCATTCCATGTCCCTACAGGGTGAACGTGGGCTGTGGCCCAGCTGAGGAGAGGGTCCTTCTCACTGGACTGCACGCAGTCGCAGACATCTACTGTGAGAACTGCAAGACCACGCTCGGGTGGAAATACGTGAGTACCAGCCTCTGACAGCAAGCTTCACGCAGACACAGCCAGATGCATGGGGGTCATCACGTGTCCCTGCAGCAGGATAGATGACATCGCAGTAAAAATGACATTTTCCAGTAATTTTTTTGGAAGCTGGTTAGGAATAGTGTAGACACAGGCCTCCACCTTATTTGCTGCACATGGCTGATGACAGAGCTGCCCAGGGCCCAACAACCCAAGGGGATTGCTGTATGACCACTGTCACCACTCAGGGTAGCTGGACCTGCTGAGGTGGAGTGAAATGACTGCCAATAGCCCACACGCTCTTCTCTGGAGGCCTTACTTTCTCCCCAGACCTTGAGCTGGACATTGCCATCCCTGCCTCATCTCTAGCTTTCATCTCTCACCTCCTCCTCTCTCAAAGATAAGCCGGATATGGGCTGGTGAGATGGCTCAGTGGTCTAAAGCACTACATAGAACAAGCTTAGCAAAGCACAGGGACCGCGGTTCAATCCCCTAGCACCACATGCCAGCCAGCCCCACCCCCAGGTGGGCTGAGCTGGCCACACACACACACACACACACACAAAAAAAAAAAAATTAAAAAAAAAAAAAAAAAGCCAGATAAGCTGGCCCCTCCTGGCCCTTCTGCCCCACCCTGTAAGGCGTGGCCTCACCCAGGACTCCCTAAAGTCTCTGCCCCTCCCTGCAGAGACCAGCAGGGTGCTCAGTCTCTGTTCCTGCCACTGTACCACATTCGCCAACATCTGCTGAGCCTTCCCCACTGTGGGCCACAGCAGCCTGACAAGTTCTGACCACTTCATGTGAGCAGATTCCAAACATCTGCCTCTGCCTCTGCCCAGCTTCTCTTCTAGGAGACACCACCTGGCCACCTTGTACATGCTGCACCCCGACTCTGGCATTTGAGATGCATGTCTGGCATGGCACCTTCCTTTTTTCAAAGTGTCTCCTGATTTCTTTCTGGCTTTGGAGTTCCTCAGGTCCAGGCTGCCTGTGCTCCTGCTTTCCTGAGTTCCTGAGCAGCTCTGATCTCCTGGATTCCCTATGGGCTGAGAGGACACAGTCCACAGCAGAGCCAGGCTCTGTGGAGCCTTTAGGGGTGCCCCAGTGCCACCGCCTGTTTAGCTCTATAACCATTGCCGTGGCCCATTTTCCAAAGCCCTGTCCTTTCCTCATGGCCACTGCACTGCATGCACTTCTTGCTGTACCTGTCCCCACTGAGCCATGTCGCCTGTGTCTACCAGGCATGGCTCACTCTGGTCATGTGTCTCCAGCACCTAGCATGAAGCCACACGTGTGATATAACGATGAGTGCACGTCCGTAATACTGCCCCAACGAAGGCTGACTCATCCGGGCATCTTAGACCTGCTTTTTCCGTTGTCTCCCTGTGCTTAATGTCCCTCTTCTCCATGCCTCCTGAATTACCCCTCACATTCTAGACATCCACTAAACAGACCTAGACGTGTGTGTGCCTGTGTGCGCCGAGGATGAATCCAGGGCTTCAAACCATGCGAGGCCTGTTGGGTGTGGTGGCACGTGAACATAATCCCAGCACTGTGGAGGCTGGGGAAAGATTGCAAATTCCAGCCAAGCCTGGGCAACTTAGCAAGACCTTGTCTAGAAATAAAAATCAGAAAGGGTTGGGAATATAGCTCAGAGCAAAGGCCCTGGGTGCAATCTCCAGTACTGGTGGGGGAAAAAACAAAAGGCAAGCCAGGCAAGCACTCACCCATTGAGCTCATCCCTGGCCCCAGTAAACAAGGAACGTGGCCCTGCAAGCACTGGAGGAACTGCATGCCCCCCATAGACACATCACCCAAGGCAGAGCCTCCAGCACTGGGTCAACTCTGGGCTCGGGGAACGTCTGGGTACAGATAATCCAAGAGATTCATTCTCATTGCCAAGAGTGTGGAGAAGTTAAAAAATGAGGCAGATCCTGTCCTGAAACCTCTCTCTGCTTTTTCCCCTTCAAGGAACATGCCTTTGAGAGCAGTCAAAAATATAAGGAAGGAAAATTTATTATTGAGCTTGCCCACATGATCAAAGACAACGGTTGGGAGTAAAGTGGAAATGTTCCACTCTTTTGAATACTGCTTTGTGAAAGAGACTGTGAATGTAATGGAGACATAGAGCATCCTGGACGGCAGTATTTCTTGAACTTAACCTTGCAGGCTAGCCAAGCTGCGACACTCGAAGGCCTCTCTCGGCCATCCCTGTGGGTAAGGTGTCCCTGATCTGCGTCACTTCCCTGTATGTGGTTGTTGCTGGAAGTTTTCAGTGTTTGTCGTTCTTTTTTTTTTCTTTAACTTCTCAAGCTCTAGAGAACAAATGAACCAACTGGCTACTTGGCAAGTTAGCTCTCTTACCTGCTGTCTTCCTTGTAGTGTGGCTGTGCTTCAGTCATGAGCAAACCAAGTCTGTCAGACCATAGAGACAGGGGACAGGTCTCCTTCAGCAGCAAGTCTCACATGTCTTTTTTTTTTTTTTTTTTTTTAGAGAAAATACTAAAGTTTTCTCCCTAATTCTTGAAACTACACATCAGCTATTCCTCCTGCAGATGAACTGTGAAGGCACAGTATTCATTTAAAAATCTTCTAGTAGCAGTCAACAAATTTATATACAAAGGACATTGTTTTTTAAAGCCTGTTGAAAACAGAGAACACCACTGGTAGCATTTTAGATAAGCTATAAATAGAGCAATGTGTTAACAAATGTCTTATTTATTTATTTAAGCCATGATCTAGAAAGCAACTGAACTAGTCCCTAGAGAGGACCATCCAAGGCCTGCAGAGGCTGTCTTGAGGAGACAGCCTCCTAGATCTGGGCCTGAGGTTGTGCCCTTGGTGCTGACAGGAGCCTGCATGTCCTGTGATGCTGAGTGGCTGGTCCATGATGTTAGAGAATAGCATTCTGGACCAAGTGTAAGTCCAATTTCATTTTTGACCCTGGATGTACTTGAAGAAAAAGAATTATTTTGCCTATGAAAGAGGCCAGAACCAGCAGGAAAAAAAACCCTCAAAACTTGAGATCTATATTTTAAATTTTTTTCAGAAAAGGTCAAAGTTTCAAAGTAGGGTTAAATACTGTAAAGAAGACATTTGGTTTGCTGCAGGAGGTGCCCTCCCTGTCAGGTGGCCCCACACAGAGGGGCCTGCCTATGCAGTCCCCTAGGGCCTGCATTTCTGTCACAGATTTTAAGTCATGGCCTGCTATCAGACCAGTTTGCAGAGAATGAAGGCCACAAAACATTCCCAATGAAGTTTTGGTTTCCAGTATTGTGTACCAACTCGGGGCAGAGGGACAAGAAAAAGGGCCAAGGGAGGCAGACAGACAGGACAGTCCCAGCCTGGCCGACAGCTAACACTGCTGTGGATAAGGCTGGTCTAGTGGCAGTGAAAGCAAGCTGGCTGAGGAGCAGCAAGTGACTCCCCATTCAGCTTTAGCTCCTCATTTCCAGACCCAGCCCACAAGCTGTGGCCATTATAGGCACTCAGCTGCCACCTGGCTCCAACTCAGTGCTCATCCCAAGCTTCCCTGTTGGTGCCATTCCTTTACCCAAGGCTGTAAGCTTGGGAAGGTGGGGAGAGCCACTGCCTGGGCCCAGTGGGCTGGTGAGCACAGCACTGAGATGCATCAGCTCAGCAGGAGCGACAGTGGTGTTACTTTAAGCACATCCTCACCTTATAGTAGGCTCAGTTGGCCTGTAAGCCTCTCCCCTGTAGTCCAGCAGGCTGTTTTCTCAGAGCCAGTTCCCTGCAGGCATACTGGCCTGGCTGTCCCCACAGTTCTGTTAGCAAATGGCTTCCCTCAAGGAATCACTCCAGCCAGCAGTGTTCCTGTGGCCACACCCTGCAATCTGAGGACAGCACCTTCACTCCACTGGCTGAGATGGGAAGGGTGAAAAGGCAGCTTCCTGACCGGAATGAGCACCCGGCAGTGCAGGATGGCTGAGAGTGATGCTCCTTCCCTTCTTCATCTGTCTTGAGTGGAACTCAGGCCAGAGCCTCAGAGGACCAAGGGCTCATGGCGCCATCAGCCTGCCCAGGTGTGAGGGCGGCCTGAGCAGCTTCCACAGAGACTTCACTGAAATTGAAGAACAAATTTCGTAG